ACTCTAACGGCATGGAAGAAACGGTCTCCCTACGTCACCTGGCCCCTTCAGCAGATTTCGGATGTGCTCCAGCATCCGAACAGCAGCAACCGCAGTCCAACGCTGATTCATTTATTAAACCGGAACTATCTGACTCTGCTTCGGAAAGTGATATGTCGAATTCTTCTGAACACCCATTGGTTATACAACAACAGCGGACACGGCCGTATGTCCTGCGCAACAGAGAGGCCTGACATTATTCAATTATAAATCAAACTCTTGAGAACTTTCATCTCTGCGGGGGGTGAATGTTATATATTTGCTCTGTTTTTCAAACGTTTCATCATTTGTTGCTAAATCACTTTTTCCGTTTCCAGCTCTCAGTGTCAAAGTTTTGGATGAATAGAGCCTAGCTTTCGGGCCCTCAGTCTTTTCCATTGTCATTCTGATTGTCGTTGCACTCCGACCCTCGTCGTACACAACAGTATTACGATGTTAACTGCGGCGCTTTAAAGAAAGGCCAAATAATGGAAGTCACGGCTTGCTGAAAAACTAGGAAACTCGCGTTCCTGTCTAGCTGTTACACCACCCGAAAGGAGTACAAGTGCTGAGATGCTGTCTGTAGTAGGCCCATAATAAAATTTAGCACTGTGCTTGTTCTGTTGACTTTGGGAGGAGGTTTCTCTATCAGCTCCCAACTACAACGGTGTTGTGTTCGATGAGAAATGGAGTGCGGGAACAGTCCGAAAAAGAACGGAAAGGACCGAGGGTCCGTAAGCTAGGCTATATTCATCCAAAACCTTGACAATGCGAGCTGAAACGAGCAAAAGTGACTTAACAATGAACGACGAAACGTTTTCAAGGACATTGAAAACAAACGGATTATTTACCCTTCCAGGCCTAAAGTTGTCACCTTGTTGTGGTGGTTGGGCTTTTGTGCTGAATTGATCCAATAGGTCATAATGGCTGGAGCTCAGTTTTTAAAGGTTCAGCCATAAAGGCCACCGGGAAGCAGCCCGATGAAGAATAGCCGATGAAGAATGCCCTGCGACCTCGATCCGGGCCGGCCCTCTGCAACCAAGAGGGGGGGGGGGAAGAGTCCCCCGAGAAAAATCCTAACAAAAGTTGCTTCGAAGTTTAGATTATTGAGCTCCTAGGGATGCACGGGAAGACCGTGCATCTTCTCAGTGTCTTGTGAGTTAGACTTTTGAATCGAGGACTCAAGTTGAGGTACTTCAACCAAATCCCCTTCTGCCTGGACGACGGGGAAGTATCACCCACCATTGTAGCTCTTCGCTCACAGGCCCTCCCCACCCGTCAAGTGATGCAGTGCGATCATCCCACTTGTCAGTTCCCTAGCCATTGTTCTGTAGTTGAACCATTGACCAGAAGAAATAAGCCAAAATAATAACTTACTAACCTCAAAAGATTTGACCCATGTTGCAGCCTTCAATGTCGAAATCTTGCGATCTGTCTGTCGAGGTGCGTTGTGTTTCGGAAACACACTAACAAGATGCCACTTCAGTGATGCACCTTAAACCGCTTATAACGAGCTCAAGTGTTCTGCATTTCACTCTTCATATATCCGGTGATCGTGGTATCTACAGTGTGGGAGTTGCACTCAGCCCCAAGACTGGGGCCACTTTACCGGGCTGGGTCCCATTAACCAATCATCTTTGCGCTATGCGGTTGTCTGTTGAAGAGTGACAGAGAATTCTGGTGGATTGCGAAGGCCCTGGAGATGTAGAAGGCTTTCGCTGAAGGCAACAGCCAGTTCGGTCAATGGACCAAAGGAAGACAAGCGTCAGCGAAGCGATATGTGAAGTAGACGAAACGGGAATTCACTCCCTCAATCACCGTCTTCAGTGATGGGCTGAACAATTTAAGGAACACTTCAACTGGTCTCCTTCAACACATTCACTGGAAGGACTCAGCGGGTCTGAATGTAACACCGACATCAGGCGGCTTTCAAAAACGGAAATCCAGCGCTCGATAACACCCCAACGCAATAAGGCACTCCACCCGGATGGTTTGCGCGCGGCTTTTTTCAAAGAAAGTGCTGTAGTTTTGGTGAACAGTCTGACTACCATACTTCATAAGATTTGGAACGAAAACAGAATACCAGTACGGTGGAGCCCGTCGACCGTCGTCCCAATCTTCAAAACAGGGCACTAGAACGTCCTTCGGGTGGCATGGCAGCTAGGCACCGAAAGGGTGCTACAGCTGAACGCTTTTATGCGGTTGTCTGGCTCAATCAATTTCAATGCAGATGGATGCGGTAAACGGTGTCTATCGTATCAACGTACACTCCGACAGAATGCAGTTCTGAAACTGAGAAGTACAAATTTACTCGAGATCTGTCGTGACCGTTGCGTCAGCAAAAAGGACGGATACATTAATTGTGGTAGGTGATATGAATGCCCAAGTTGGACAACTAAACCTGGAAGAAGCACAAGTAGGTGGTAGATTTGGAGTGGATGCTGAGCGTACGGATAGTGGGGAGCGACTGCTTCAGTTGTGTGCTGATCATTATCTCTCCCTGGCGAGTACGATTGCCGATGAAGAGTGCCAAAATTATCGTTCCTTCTAGTGTACGCAACTTGACCCTGATCGTGTCATTGTACGAGTCCTGTTATGACTTCGCTTTCTGTCAGCCCGAAACAGTGCATTTCCCTTCATCAATTTCGACAACTTCCAGTAGCTCAAGCGTATCGAGCTTGTCTTGCTATAAAGCTATTGGAGACACACAGTCATGCGGATGACGAAGATTGTTTGGAGGTGGAATGGAAACGAGTCCAAGGAACTATGCCCTCAGCTTTCAAAACTGTTTGTCGGAGCGATTCAGCTCGACTAAATGAACACTGGATCGTCGAGATCTCATTGCTACGAGAAAGGTCACTCTATCAACTAGCGATTGTGATGGCACACGTGATGCGTCGCACGGCTTGGTATGAATTCACACCTGCAAGGTGTAAAATACTGCTAGAAGACCGGGTTGGACCAAGCCCAAGCTTGGTGCTTGCAGGCTAGCCGGTCAACGTGGTGGATAAATTTGTTCACCTGGGAAGTTGTATGAGTTCTGATGGAGTTGCTGGAGATGAGATTACTTCTCTGATCAGGAAGACCAGGAGAGCTTCTACCGAACACTGACACCTTTGGTACCGGCGTGATGTCAGTTGGTCTTTCATGGGCAGAGTGTACATTGCGGCAGTGCGGTCCATACTTGTTATTGGATGAGGAATATCTGGTTGGCCGGGTCTGGTGATGATATTGGGTTATCAGTACTGAAGTATACTAGATGGTTTTAGGAGGAGAAACCCTCCAACTATGGATGAATTACTCAGAGTTCATAGGCTACGCTGGGGGCACGCTGAACTTCCCAGCTCCGTGCTGGGTAGAGGTGACCGACAGTTGTACAGGTATGACCAGGCAATGAAGTATGAAGACACTAACGGGTAAACTCAGTCGCATGGACAGCTGCCACTTTCCTGGTTGCAGACTCCTGGAGCCAGATCACCAATGGTTAATGACACTGGTGGACATATCCCAATCACGAAGTCAGTGGCGCTCATCTACCAAGCTGCCGCCTTCAGTGCTTCGCTGTTTAGTTCGCGAAGCAAGTCAGCACCTCCAGTCCTTGGCCATATGTCCACCACTCATCCACTTTCGCAGCTGGTTTGTAGCCGATGAACTGAGCAGAACGAAATAGACGTATCTGTCATCACCTCCAGTCCTTGGCCATATGTCTACCACTCAGAACGAAATAGACGTATCCGCTGCGCATTTGGAAAGTGAAGTTCCCATGTTGAACAGTAAGGTTAATTTCGAACTTCCTTCCGATGGTGGATTTTTGTAGCCCTACACTTGTGTTGTGTCGAAAAATTGGTAGCTAGGGTGCGCTCATAAACTGTTCACCAGGTGGCGGGTTGTTTTCCGAGCATGGCAATGGACCTGCATAATTTGACAATGTGCGGTGCGTAACACTACACAGAACAACGCATTTTCGTAGGCCTTCACGTCGTGTGGAGGCGTGCAAGCTGATTTCCAAGCTCGGCAAACAGCTCGACGGCCATCTGACCAGCATCCTGATGGCGCTATAATCCATTAGTCGGCTCTGTCTAGGTCTTGCGGTATTCCACTCTGTTTGAAGTTGCCTGATGCATACAAATATTCGAGGTAATTCACACATGTGCGCAAAAGTGTATACCGATCGATATCGTATGCCAAGATAACTGGCAGTTTGATAGAACTCACTGAAATGCCCAAGATGAGGGTGAAGCTGAGTGGCTTCTGAAAGCGATCCCCATTCTTAAATGCGGACTTATAAACATTTATTTTTCCTGGTCGTAGCGATACATTTACCGCACTTTTTTGCTCTGAAATTTCTCACCACATTATTCTGTTTTTCTTGCAGATTATTTATCAAAAATCAGTCAATGGCCCATATTCGCACATCCTCACCTTGCTTGGAGTTGGCCTTAGAAGGTGAACGCTTATGTCGTGCTGGCGAGTGGTGTGGGGGAATTTCGTGCTTTAGATCTGCCTTGTCCAATGGAACAGATGACCTTCGTTGTCTGTCAGCAATTTACTGTCAACTTGGAAACGCCTACTTTTGCCAGAAGAATTACTCCGAAGCATTGGAATACCATCGTTGGCATCTCACTTTGGCTCGGTAGGTCAACTTGATCAATTTTGGTTGGTTAGTGGCCTTTGGCTAGCCTTTCATCCACACATCCCTTTCTAGTGTTACTAACACATTGCAGACTTCTGTATTAATTTACGCAATACAGAACGATGGTAGTGTAGCAGAAGTCCCGTGAAAAAAACTGTTTGCATACAGAACGATGGTAGTGTAGCAGAAGTCTCGTGAAAAAGCTGTGTGTTATTGGTCTGCCGTTATGGATGAGCGTAAGCCTGCGCAAGCGTCGCCAACGTTACTGCTAAACACTCACTGAAAAGTAGCTTCACTATGCAAGCACCAAAGTTTCATGAAGACTGTCACGCAATTTTGATTTTAGCTTATTGGAAAATATTTTGGGCTTGATTGACATACGAGCGTTTGTTGAACTGAAATGTGCCGGTGCGTTTTTGTCAGGAACTATGCTACTATGGGTGTAGTAGGATGGACGCTGAAATGCTAGAGCGATTCGCAGTTGCTGCACGTAAGGTCGGGAACTTGAATGAACATGGCGTTGAGATTTCATACTGGATAGTTTCATCTCCACTGTGTTGTGCACCTATAGTGCTTTCGTGTGAATTCTCACGAATTTCATGGCTCTAATTCTCAAACTCCCTTGTGGTTGGAGGATCGGACACGGTTCCGCATTTGTCATGGCGATGCTTCCTTATCACCAACTTGTAATGGTAAGCTTATTTGTGCAAGAGAAAATTGGCTGATCTCCAAGGGTACTCCGAATAATTGGACGGTTGTGCATACTGAGTCTCTAAGTGTATTCAGTAGTGGCAGAAATTACGGTCGCTGTTGATACGGTCGCCCTACATTGTCTACTTTTTTCACCTGGAGGAATCAAACGAAATGCTTGGAGGAAAACAGATCTGTTGATGGTATTTTTCTTCGGTTTTCTGGGCTTTTCAACGAGGTTTTGATTAGATAAAGTCTTCTTCAGTGTAGTTTCTTAAGTGGAATCACCCAGGTTGTTGATCACGGAGTAGAATCGAGGTCATGCACAGCGCCGATGGAATCACCCAGGTTGTTGATCACGGAGTCTGTGTTGGTGGGGCACTGTTTTTGCTTGTTGCCATTAGTAGAATCGAGGTCATGCATAGCGCCGGGCTTCCTATCAGATGCTCCTTCAATCCGATAGATTTTTGGTAGCCATGTTGTAAATTCTGCCCTCATACTTAGCTGTTTGCAAAGGACAACCTTATTGATGAAATGAGTAAGTCTGAGGGATTTCAGCCCAACATATGACGAGTTAAAATATATGGGAAAGTGTCGAAGCCTTGCTCAGTCGTTTTCCACACCTCCCTTGAACAGCTGTGCTTAAATGCAAACCTGCTGATGGACTACCTTGAATCAGGATGGGACGCTGATGGGGGAGGGACAGACTCCATTACCCTGGAAATGGATGACCTTGAAACAGGCAACAGCTCAGTCTGTACAAACATTTACTGTGTAGACTGATCGTTATCACATTCGGTGGGTATTGATGCTATCATTAGGTTTGAGTTGTTCCACGAAGTTTAGCAGTCAGTAGAGTTGTATGAGTTAGTTGGACATTTAAACGGTTATGTACGGTTGTACGTCAGGACTGCTGGTAACACTTGCATGGTACTATCCTGAGAAAAGTGCGGTGTTACGCTGGAACTTAAAGGAATCAATTGATGAGATATCGATACTAAACAAGTAACTGCTGCCGACGCCGGCCGGCTGGCGGTTTGTATCAGGCCTCTGTACGTTCGTCAACCGACCTTATTCCGTTGGGCCTAATTCGGAATCAAGGGCTTGAACGCAGCACCGCATTCGACCCAGCGAACCGGCTGTGGTTCTCCTACTGCACATAGACGTCCGGTTGTCTGGCCACTGTCGACCGGTAAATCTGATTCGGATGCATGTCATTCATTCATTCATTCATTCATTCATTCATTCATTCATTCATTCATTCATTCATTCATTCATTCATTCATTCATTCATTCATTCATTCATTCATTCATTCATTCATTCATTCATTCATTCATTCATTCATTCATTCATTCATTCATTCATTCATTCATTCATTCATTCATTCATTCATTCATTCATTCATTCATTCATTCATTCATTCATTCATTCATTCATTCATTCATTCATTCATTCATTCATTCATTCATTCATTTCATTCATCCTGCACATATACACGAGTTTATGCATGAACTTATCCTCCGGTTAGCTCCCACCGAATCAGACCAGTTGCTGGCAAACATACATCGTGAAAAATTATTTTCCAGTAAAATGCATTTCAAAACATGGTAACCACAGGTGAGATAACCAAATGGTGGAAAGGAAGTTTTTTCCGTCCATGGCCTGCTCACGTGATCCCTGGCCATGCAGGCGAATCGATCGTGACGTAACCAATTTTCACAGTTTTCGCAGAAACAGAAACTATCGTGGAACCGATTTTACTCCTGTAAGCACAGTTTTCAGGCCCCGATTTATTAATTAGAAGGTGTAGATTTCAGACAACACTATTACAATGCTTGTTTGCAGCTACATCCCATCGAAAAAAATTCCTCACGCTCTTTTTTCACCCAGATTGATAAACGATACCGATGGTGAGGCAAAAGCCAGTGGGAACTTGGGTCACACCCTGAAAACGTTGGGTCGATATGACGATGCAATCAAATGTTTCAATCGACAGCTTGATATTGCCCGTCAGGCTGAAGATCAGGTATGCACTTTACAGCCCCAAGATTTCCATTTGTTTTGGGGTTGTGTTGTCGCTACGCGCTTCCTGTTCATCATAGTTTTTGTATCAGCAAACATCATGCACGGTGTGCCTGCCTGTCTCTAATGTTCAGCCACTAGCCAGTGGTTGTCTTCCCCAGACTGCATTCTGGAACGGTGTTGTGACTTGATGGACGATCGTACAACTCTGTATCGGTCCGTTGGCTTCCTGTTACGCCCGCTATGGTATATCAAAAGGCATAGTAACTCTGTACAGCCCTTTATGGAGACAAAAGAAAATTATTACAACTGTATGTATAGGGTAGTCACAGAGTGTTCCATAAGGTCGTGCCAGAATCTCCGTGATGGGCCGAGAAGCATCGAGTCAAAGGTGCTTGACTCGAATTGGATGGCATTCTGACCCCTCGCTCGTTTGGTCCGTGTCCTGCACGTGATACATCCGTCCAAATAACGTGGTCTTCGGTTATTAGGGACGGCTAGCCTCCGTACGAACGGAAGGATGCTTCACAAGCGTGATTCATCCGGATTTCCAAGTAGATTTCGGCGAGAGTCAATATTTGAGATACGCGCACGAATCGAAATAGAGATCCGTGGAGATTCATCAAACTATTGACCTGACTTGTTTGAAGGACTAGCAGTTTCTCGCAGCTGTTGAGAAGAGTTTCGGTTACATTTTCGGACCTTTTTTTTCAAAAAAAAGGAGAATGATAATGCGCATGTGACTTAGGTGCTAGAACATTGTTCAGAACTCTCTGAATGAATGGCTACCCTGCCACGTTTTCATCCAGGATGATAACTTTCCCCACTAGTTTCTAATAGGTTGATTTGTGAGGTACGATTCCCATGCGAACCGCGGCAAAGCAAATTATCTCTTACATGTACCTATTCCCCTCATACCATACCATCATGGATAGGCGCTAAATCTCAAGAACTTCTTTTCGACGTAAAACGATTCATGTGTTCACTCGAGTAGGTAGGAATTGTGCAACCTTTTTACACGTTTAAGTCCGTGTGTTGAGGCGAACGATCTGTACGCCCTCCTCTGGTGTTGCATGTTTTGCGGCTTCTAGATGTTCTTCCTAAAATCCATCCAACTCATCCTATATGCCAGTTAATACTAGTGCTATAGAACAAGTGGATTACTCCGCAAGTGAAATCCAGGTCGGTCTGGCCTGCACTTTTCCGCTTCCCTGATCCCGGTTATGGTAACTCATTTTAATCATTCTCTCTGTTCTGTTGACAGCGGAGGCAAGCCAGAGCCCTTGACGAACTTGGTAACGCGTATCACGCCAAAGGGGAGCAACTGGCTCGTACGATTGGTTTGTCGGATCCGGGAGAATTCCCAGTAGAGGCGGCGGATGCCCAACGAAAAGCCGTGGACTATTACTTGTGAGTGGAGGCTAACTTTTAACAGGGAGTTTAAGTAACATTAGTTCTTTCATCCCTATTGAAGCTCACCAAATGGACGTTGAATGTCGCATATTCCTCTTGGGTAACAGTCCTAAGCTATCCACCAGTGCACTACTTGACCCTGGCAGTTTTAAACCGTTTTTGAACACCCCCGTGGTTGATTTCATTCCTCATGCGTTTTGGGCCACTGATTTTTGCTTTTGGTGGTTCCAAGATTGCACCCATTTGAACTGGATGTCGGTGCTATACCAGTTGTGGTTGACATTCAGAGACCCCTACAACACTCTGGTCGAGGATTTTGATTTTACTCATTGAAAATCAGTCAAACAGTGGGCTTTGTTTAGCTCTCCTACGGGGCTTATCAGGGCCAGCCATAAGCGTGCGCGTGGATTCGAACTATTAGCTAAAGGATTCTATATGATTATCAACCCAAACATTCAGTCCATCAAACTACCATGTCACGGTGTCGGTATATGCGGGTAAAGGGGTAACTTTATTGTTCAGACGAAGCATACTACTCATAAGGTTGTCGAAAATCCGTTGACAGTTACACGGATGGTTTTGCTCATCCTGGGTTTTACCCATCCTGTCCATTCCGGCCATCCGGGTAGGCACAGTCCTCGAGTTTCCGTGAAGCATGTGCTCTACTTGAATGCAAATTCGACAGATTTCGACAAACGCTCTCGTTTGCAAACGAATTTGGTTTTAACAAGAGACTAAACTGAATCCCACAGTATCGCTAGGTCGGTGACAATCGACCCTCTCTGTCTCAACTCATCCTTGTCATGTTCTCCACGTCTGCTTAAGTTTTCGGGCGTTCCGCTTTTCTCGGTTTAAGATATTTGGGTTCATTCATGACATGCTGTTGTTTGACCTACGTATGGGAAGGGCACACTGTTTGTGGTGTGTTAAGCTTGTGCTTTTCAGATGCATATGGTTTGACCGAACAAACAACCTTGTGATGCATGCGGTGCAAGACAATAGCCGGTGTAATTTATTTATTTTAGTTGCCTCAAAACATTATAGCGGGGTAACGGAAGCAGATATTTCGGTAGTAGTGTGAAGGCTCATACTACTGATGAAACCTGCGAGTACTGTCTGTTTTCGGCCTCAAGCGTCAACCCCGCGGCAGGTCGACGGTTGAGTTAGAGATTATTGGACGGTTCAAGGAGGTTGGCCTTCGATGTGAAATCTCTAAACGGCGCCAACGAAAAGCCAAGAATACATTTGCGACCATTGAGTTTCCCAGATTCCGCGCAAACGTTGGTTTCCTCTTGCTCGTAAACGCTCCCATACTCGTTTTGCGATAAGTACTTCCGCATCCGAGTGCGTACTGCCTCTAATTTAGTGATGCCATCGGAAACAGTTTTTTCTTGGTTAGCGAAAGTAGATAGGATAGCAGAGTCTTGAACGTTATTGCTTCAACTTGGGTTTATGTTCCAATGAGAAATGATCACTTGAAGGGTATCATCCATGGAACCGGTGAGTCCGGCAGCGGTGTTGCAGTAGCCACTTAGCAACTGTGCTGTTTGGCTGTTTTAAAGAGGAAAGCCACACAACCGAATGGACACCTAGTGTATACAGTCCTGACGAGTTTGGTAAGTATGATCCAAACAAAACACATGGATTTATGGTGCATGATGAGTAAGGTCATGCATGAACTTGATTGTCTTGGGAGCGCGTCTTCTGCCTGCCTACTGAAAGCGGATAAGCCGGTCGTGCGTCTTCTCAAATCTCTTTCTCGGGCGATGTCCTGTTCTTCTATTCCTGCTTGCATCCAAGTTCAGCGCGCATGGATAGGGCGCAGTATGATAACCACTGTGATGATCACAATGTAGCCATCTCAACCGATGTGATAAAGTAATCTCGTTCAAGGTGGGACCGTCGGCGCCTAGCGTCTTCCGCCCGACTGCATTGTTGATGACGCACCGTTGCCATGAGACACATTTGATTTTACACAGCCAACGTGTTCTTACTCACTTAGCAGGTGAGTACCATTTAAACGGAGGCACCAGGTTTCACGCTCTTGAAGCAGTGCGATAAAATCGTTCAGGTGTAGCACCTTTTCGGTGTCTAGCTACCACACCAACCGAAGGTAGCGCGAGGATTGGGATACTGCCAGGTTTCCCACGGGAGAAGCTGAAATGCAGAGGGTGGTTCGAACCAGGACCGTCGGCGCCTAGCGTCTTCCGCCCGACTGCATTGTTGATGACGCACCGTTGCCATGAGACACATTTGATTTTACACAGCCAACGTGTTCTTACTCACTTAGCAGGTGAGTACCATTTAAACGGAGGCACCAGGTTTCACGCTCTTGAAGCAGTGCGATAAAATCGTTCAGGTGTAGCACCTTTTCGGTGTCTAGCTACCACACCAACCGAAGGTAGCGCGAGGATTGGGATACTGCCAGGTTTCCCACGGGAGAAGCTGAAATGCAGAGGGTGGGTTCGAACCACGGACCCTCCGGTCAGTAAATTCGCGCTGTAACCACTGAGCCATCTCGCCATCTCGCAACACGGCACTTACAATAACACGTAAACTCGAAAGGCGAGTATCTCATCACCGCCGCAGATATTTCAGATTGGTAAACGCTGCTCTGACTTTGGCAACGTGGAGCCACATCTGTTTCCAGATATCTCCACCACCTGTTATGTGTAAGATGGCCGTCTTTGTTGCCTCCTTAGGCTTAAGCTCTTGCTCATCCTGCATTCTGAAGGGGTGAAGCTCATGCCATATGGTTTTCCTCCGCTAAAGAAGCGGTCGAATGCAGCCTTCATTTCCATGTAGGTTATGAGACATCATCAAAAAACCTGTTAGTTTTTCAGACGGGAGTGGGATTTTAACGAACACACTGCTGAGGCATAAGCGGCATTAGTGCACAAATTAACGCGTGGCCAGTGCCTACATCACCTATAAGTGATCACGATGTGGTAAATTTTTTATCAATATTTTTGCTACGGATCAGGGCGTAAAGTTGCAGAACAACGATTATTATGTTACACTCACTTCATCCTCCCCAACACACCCGAAATAACGGAAGCACTCAGATTTTCAACACATTGTGTCTGAACTCAGGTTTGATCCCTCGTTTGATTGCGGTGTTTGTGATGTAACCCACAGCTTTCCCAGTCCTAACAATGCATTAGGGATGTCAGTTTCGAGAAGGCTTTCTGTCAACCACAAATTACAAGCTCGCTAGCTTGATTTCAATGAATACTTCTCATAGGACAAGTAATATAACTACTTCATTCCTTTATCTTAATTGCCTCATTTTTGCCCCACTGGGTTTCTCACTGTTTTTCTACTCTTGTGTTAATCTCGTTATCGTGTGCACTGATCAAACATCTACTTCTGGACAAGCATGCAGCTTTTTCAGTTATCCTGTGTTCCGCGTTTATGTCACGTCAGTGAGCTGTATGTGTGTGCGCACGCAATTGGAAAATTTCGAAGCGGTGAGTTTCCCGCGGGCTAATGGAAAAGTATTCGCTCTTTTTTAGAATCTGTCCTTTTCAGCCCGCTCTGCTCCATTCTGTCTTCCGTTGTGTTCGCCCGCACCAACAACAAAATAATTTGTTTCCTTAGGCGTAATACACTACTCATTGCTGAAATCTCTCCGACACTCCACGACCAGTTTCGCCCTTCTTGGGACTCCTCAGCTAGGTGAGGTGTCAGAGTTTCCGTCAAACTTGTGTTCCACTTGAACACAAATCGCACAAAATTAGCGAAATGCACTCATTTGCATACCAATTCGGTTTCGACGGGAAACAGCTGGGTTCCAGGTGAAAACATAGCGTTCAGCTGTAGCACCCTTCCGGTGCTTAGCTGCCATGTCACCCGAAGGAAGCACGAGGGCTGGGATACTGCCAGGTTGCCCAAGCCTAGACAGGGAAGTCGAGTGGCGGAGGTCGGATTCGAACCACGAACCTTCCGGTCAGTAAATTCGCGCTCTAACCACTTGGGCCATCTCGCCCCCCAGGTGAGTCTCTCATCAAAATCAAATTGGTATGCAAATGACTGTACTTGTCAAAATCTGTCAAATTTGGGTTCAAGTAGAACATGATGAGAGAAAATCAGGAGGTTTGGTGTTCATCGTCTCGGAGTGCGGACTACCTATGGACTATATCCGTATTACTATACTTGGCCAACACCACGCTGAGCTTGATGTGTGTCGTCCTTCATCTGGAGCAGCTATTCGGGACACTATTGCAGCCCACTCATGCTTATACGTACAACCGCCGTAAAGTGAAGTACATTCTTGCCGTTTGAATGACCACCACGCCACTTTCAGTCTGGCCATTCGGGAGCATGAAGCTCACTGTCAAGTGTATTTGCCTCGTGTTTCGAGTAATAGGAAGGAGCTCATCAATTGGTCACGGAAACGGAGGCGGGGACAAAAGTCGAATCTGAGGTTTTTCCTATGATGTTGGGTAGTACCTTACAGAATCTTCCACCCTGTTTTGTATCTTTAAGTTTTGTTTAACCTCTTCTTCAATCCTTGTTCTTTCACCTCATCGACTGCATCTCACGCTTTTGCTTTCCGCAGACAAGCGCTCACGATGTTCCGTCAACTGGGCGATCGGCCTGCAGAAGGTCGTGTATATGGAAATTTGGGCAATACCCACTATTTACTCGGAAACTTTCATGAGGCAATCGAATGCCATAAAGAGGTCAGTCGGGTTCATGAGTGTAAATTAGATGATCGTTTGGAGGGAGATGGGTAACTGTCCTGCGGAAGACAGTATTACTACTTTCAGTAGTTTGTTTTTCATGTATTTTCCCCGTTGCCAAGGGTGTGGACTCTGATAATTTCGGCCCATGACGCTAAGGAACAGTATGAAACGTTCATCCAACCTATGAATAATGGATGAGTTATTTCTCACTTGTTCCAGAGGTCGTCGCAGCTTGTGCAAGCATGAGAAAAAAGGACTCAAATTGGATCTTCTTTTGGGAAATTGTGTGGCTACGGTAAACAGCTGATCCACTCCCTCGTTTTGCTAACTGTCTGTACTAAGAATCCGTGCGGATAATAAAACGATTTCACCGTAGTTTATTCGAGGAACACAAAGTTCATTCTTGTGTAAGGAGATGATTATTTAAAGTAGCATTAATGCAGTACGAAAGTCAAACTAGTTCTACCGCCTTCTGGATGCGAAAGCTTGTGGAACATAAAGTTCCGCGGTCGAATAGTCTCCAAGAGGAAACACCCGAGGTCATCATTGTCATAGACAGCAGCACATCAGTCATAGAAGTTGATGCTCAACTGTCATCCAATCATGGAGGGAGAAAGGAAGAAAGAACGATGAGGGGTACAGACTCATTGCAAATGCCCTCTGTCTCTAAAGAAGTCAATGAAGACAATTTAGGGGGCATGTGCAATCCGACGCCCGGCAAACGAACTGGAAGCACTCTGTGGTTTACTCGAAGGCTGATTCACTCTGTAGCGTGGGCGAGTTGACGAAATACGCTGTAAGGCAACGGATACACCGGGTTAACTCAGACACAGCAGCACGTGTAGTAGTTACAGCAAGCACGACGCACGGATAGGAAAGCATAACGACCGCGTTGCGAACACACGTATATTCGATACCGGAACCGGAACAACGGGTACAGGTCACGTGAAGTACAGAAAAACAGGTCAAGGTCACTCGGGGGAGGGGGGTGTCCAAGCAGACTACTCCTTCCTGTCCGGCGCTCGTGCTGACTCGTCCGGGATACCTGTAAGCGAAAGAGAGGGAGAGAGGGAGAGTTGCACACGTAAGGTCATATGTTAAACATGTGTAAGCGGGAACGGTTAAGTTTCAATTGCGTTACAACTCCTTAAGAAGAAACGTCATGTAAATGCCTTGTACCATTATGCCAGATTATCACTTTAATCAGTTTTTTCATAGGCACAGCTGATACAGTGGCTTATCCTAGCAGAAATCTCTTGTTAACTTAAACTCTCTGATAACTTAGTCCTGGGTAAGCACACAGTACTTTTCCCGGGAACGCGTCTCAGCCTCGTTAGCGGTTGAGGGTGGAAATCTGAAGGTTATTTTTTCGTGTCATATAATCTCGCCTTAGTTCAAGTTTATCTAGGTGCGGCATGTCTTCTGTCCGTCTCCTACACTGAGGTATTTTCGTCGGAGAGATACGGTAGATTCGATTGAGCATGTTTCCTTGGAGGCACACGTCACATTGTGTATGTTCTGGTGGCTACAAAGGCAACGCAATACTAATTCTTTACTGAACCGACTGTATGAGGGCAGAGGACGTAGCGGATTGCACTTTGTGTGAGTAGAGTGCAGTAGTGTAATCGAAGTCCTTCCTACGAAGAAATCCTTGAGAATAACCGTAATTTATATAATACCTTGTGTGACGGGAAAACGGTATTTTCGAGCGACGCGTAACGCCAGAACCTCTGGGGAGGCAAAACAAAGTCGGAGCTGGGTTTCTATACGGTACTATTAACGTAAAACATCAATTCACAAAATATACAAACATCGACTGTAGATACTCGTCCACAACAAATGGTCCAGTAAACAGGCTCCCACGTGAGACGCGTGCATAAGGTGGGCCACAAAATGATTGGATGACCCCAAGGTCAAATGAATGAAGTGGTAGGGACAAACAAACGCCAGTTCGCGCACACGCCCTGAACACAAAAGTGGAGAGGCGGGCTACAACTAGGGACAGAAGAAACTTGGGGGATTGCACTCTGTGGTTTACTCGAAGGCTGATTCACTCTGTAGCGTGGGCGAGTTGACGAAATACGCTGTAAGGCAACGGATACACCGGGTTAACTCAGACACAGCAGCACGTGTAGTAGTTACAGCAAGCACGACGCACGGATAGGAAAGCATAACGACCGCGTTGCGAACACACGTATATTCGATACCGGAACCGGAACAGCGGGCACAGGTCACGTGAAGTACAGAAAAACAGGTCAAGGTCACTCGGGGGAGGGGGGTGTCCAAGCAGACTACTCCTTCCTGTCCGGCGCTCGTGCTGACTCGTCCGGGATACCTGTAAGCGAAAGAGAGGGAGAGAGGGAGAGTTGCACACGTAAGGTCATATGTTAAACATGTGTAAGCGGGAACGGTTAAGTTTCAATTGCGTTACAACTCCTTAAGAAGAAACGTCATGTAAATGCCTTGTACCATTATGCCAGATTATCACTTTAATCAGTTTTTTCATAGGCACAGCTGATACAGTGGCTTATCCTAGCAGAAATCTCTTGTTAACTTAAACTCTCTGATAACTTAGTCCTGGGTAAGCACACAGTACTTTTCCCGGGAACGCGTCTCAGCCTCGTTAGCGGTTGAGGGTGGAAATCTGAAGGTTATTTTTTCGTGTCATATAATCTCGCCTTAGTTCAAGTTTATCTAGGTGCGGCATGTCTTCTGTCCGTCTCCTACACTGAGGTATTTTCGTCGGAGAGATACGGTAGATTCGATTGAGCATGTTTCCTTGGAGGCACACGTCACATTGTGTATGTTCTGGTGGCTACAAAGGCAACGCAATACTAATTCTTTACTGAACCGACTGTATGAGGGCAGAGGACGTAGCGGATTGCACTTTGTGTGAGTAGAGTGCAGTAGTGTAATCGAAGTCCTTCCTACGAAGAAATCCTTGAGAATAACCGTAATTTATATAATACCTTGTGTGACGGGAAAACGGTATCTTCGAGCGACGAGTAACGCCAGAACCTCTGGGGAGGCAAAACAAAGTCGGAGCTGGGTTTCTATACGGTACTATTAACGTAAAACATCAATTCACAAAATATACAAACATCGACTGTAGATACTCGTCCACAACAAATGGTCCAGTAAACAGGCTCCCACGTGAGACGCGTGCATAAGGTGGGCCACAAAATGACTGGATGACCCCAAGGTCAAATGAATGAAGTGGTAGGGACAAACAAACGCCAGTTCGCGCACACGCCCTGAACACAAAAGTGGAGAGGCGGGCTACAAATAGGGACAGAAGAAACTTGGGGGATTCCAAATGTCAAAGAATTGGTGATATTCCTTGGTTGAACTTCCTGGTGTTCCTCCGTCGAGGATGTTTTCTAGTCGAAGTGGATCCGATGCGACCAGAACCACACACTATTCACTCTAATAATCAAACTTGGTTTCCGGCCGGGTGTTTTAAACGACTTTCGTGGAGGTCGACTGAAAAGATGCTGAAGGCCACCGCTGTGTAAAAGCTGCACACTCTAAAAAAACCGTCAAACAGTACTTTCTATCGCGAAGACATAGTCCTGTATAAGACCACTCACTTCGAAAAGCTATCATATTGACATGGACTGGACAGAAGCAAAAATTTGACCAGCTACACTGTTGGGCGCTTCAACCGAAGATTTCCGTTTTCCTGTGGTATGCAACTTGATTTTCCCGCTCGCTTCTCAGGATCACGCACGTCGACGCAGTGTCAGTCAGCTCATTCCATTCCATGGGCCCCTGTAGGTGAAAATTAACAATTTGACCTGTCAGGAATAATGCTGGAGACGTATGGTCTCCTTGAACATTCAAAGGTTGAATGGAAGATAGTGGGAGACGCTGTGTAGTCAGCATTTAAGAGTGCCTGTCAAAGCCATCCGATTGGACCAAGTAAACACTGGATATCTTGATGATGAACAGCTCTCATTTTTGCCAGAATAAAACAT